GAGAACCTTAACCTGCTGGTGCTCAGCATTTCTTCAGGAATGCTGAACACCTTCAAATTCCAGTGACCAGAGGCCTCGAGCCATCTCAGGAAGTGGTCGGTGTGTGCAGGATCACACCCTATATGATGAAAACACATGCTGTTTCGACAAGGTGATGAACACTTTTTAAAATGTTTAAATTTAATCTTTAATCATTTCTTATTTACGTACTCATCCTAACAATGAGGTAATATGTCCACAACTCCATTGGTTTTAGTCTCATAACTTATACATATTCCATATGCAATGCTAATTAGTTTGTATTATAGCAAAATGTTCTCAATAAACTGAAATGTGAAACTCCTTCAGGATTCCCTTTTGATTTTGATTACGCAATAGTCATGTAAAATAATCTTTAGGAGAAGTATTTTAGTGTACAAATACTGGCTGTCTGTCACCGAAAGGATGGACTTATGGTTTAGCACTGCCCTAGGAGACACGAATTGAATCCCCCCACTATACTATGAGTTCCTATGTTATTTTCAACAAGTCTCTGCATCACCAAGAATACTTTCACTCATCATTTCTCTGATCTTGATTTACAAAAATACTTCTCTATGCACATGTATTCAGCAACCAGTACAAGGTGGCTCTTCAAGTGGAGTCTCTAAATTGTATTTTGACAGTGGCATATCAGGTTAATAAAAGCTGTAAACCAGGCAAATCACAGGTTTTGACTACTGAACTGGCACCAAAAAAAAAGGCTGATCTGAGCCCACCTCTGAGGCTTACGTGCCATCAACTATGACCAGATAGAGGTGACACAGCAATCTCTATTTGTAAGCCTGTTGAAACAAACAAACAAACAAACAAATTTAATGTTTGGATTTTTGCTTGGTTTTAGAAATTCAGTTTTGACGAGAAATTAAAGGTGTTACATATTCCTCAAATTAAGACGTCGTTCTGACAGATCACTTACCTAAAATGAAACATTTTAGTTAAGAACATCCTGGATACTCACTCTGACAGCACACAGCATTCCCCTGACCAGTAGAAGGACATAAACCGTGGTCTGGCTTTGCAGCTTATCCATTTAAGAACATATTTATGTTCTTACATAAATTTTAAAGGAGCAGGAAGCAAAAGAATCTATCCTTGATGGTATATACCAAGTGGGAAGTAACATGGTAAAAATGCCAAACACTACAAATTTTGCAAGCTACCAATATTTACCATCCGTCATCAAGAGTACTGTATTCTCATGCAAGCATCCCACAACGAGAAACATCATCTCTATAAGGGTAAAACAAACAGCATTCACAAGTTCTGAAAGCATTCTTCCAAAATTATTGCACTAGATTAGATTGCCTCATCAACAGGGCCAGAGGCCATTTACACTATTTCCTTGCTTTACTTTTTTTTTTTTCATGTAACAGATGAAAGGATTACAGAAAGTTTTCTGGGGCCAAATTTGGAATTAATGATGGGAAAATTCTTTTGCTAATCCCCCACCTCTCCCACTGCTAGCAGACTCCTGAGGCTGGAAAAAAAACAATGTCTCCTGGTACCCTGCCTCTACTTTGCTCATCAGTGCAAAATACTACGCTCAGGAGGTTTGAAAAGGACCCTCCAAGTTAGCACAGAGCCATAAAAACTCTAGGATAGGGCTATACTGAAAGTCTGAGTAAAGAATGACATGAGACTCCAATTAAAACTTGGAAGCACCGCAACAAAATCAAAGGGTAAGATTCATCTGCTCAGGGTAGACGTCTGCAAAGCAGCCACCTCCATCTGAGCCTAGGCTCGCGTTATAGTCAGCGGGGAAAAAGCAGACTTTTCCAGGACACAATTCACCCTGTTCCGAGGTGGATCTGTAAAACAGGCCAGAGACATTACGCCTTAGGAACCCCTATTCCTCTCTGCTGACTACGAAGGAAGCCCAGAGAGATGAGCTCGAACACGGGCATTGTAGAGATTCAAAGTTAAGTGAGGCTGGCATCACCCAAGGTGCTCAAAAGAGACCGATTCGAACTTTTCCTGAGAACACAAACTTTACTGGAACACAGCAACCGCCTCTCTCAGCAACGAGGCCCAGTTCCAGCGTACCATAAGATGCCCTCTTACAAACCTTGAACATTACTCCTTGCGACTGCCTGCCAGCCCACCAGTGAAGTAAAAATAGATACAGCCAAGTAACTACCCTTCTAAAAGCGAAGTTTAATCATTTTTCAGTCATTTAACAAACACAAAAGGAATTTACCCATACCAACTCTACTCAAAAAGTAAACTTTGCATAATTAATTTGGATGCTTCCAATACTTGCTGCGGCTGAATCATCTGCAAATGCACAGCTACACCAACCGGCACTCAAGGGAATATGCCTCAGGCCGCACTGAAGAACCGGGAAGTGCAGATATCCCAACTGAAGAGAGCGCCTGAACTGCCAAGGAAGGAAATGAAAAGACAGGCAGCCCAGAAAATAATTACACTTATCTACCTCCTTAAATCCTGTTGCACTAACGCTCAGACATTATCAGCTACTTCTGAATTAAGCCTTTTTTCTTCTTCTTCTTTTTTCTTCCCTCTTGAAATCACAAGCTCTAGCCCCCAAGCCAGTGCAAGCTCAAGGCACCTGTGCAACGAGTCGTACGTAGGTCAGATTGGCCAAAGTAGGTTAGGGAACTAGAAGTCAAGCTTCCCGCAGAAGTGCACGGTGTGATGGAAAATTTGACTCCAATAAAAAGAAATATTGATGCAGCACTTAATGAAGATGAACTTCCTCTGCCTTCTCACAATATAGATGATGCTATTATCACTCAGCACTAGGAAGGAAAGACATTCTGAATAAGGGGAAATTACAGGGCAGTTACGCTCATCAACTCTGGCAGTGTACAGTGACACAATATTGGCAAAACGCCTGAGAAAAGTCTGTAGAAAGTTGAGTACAGGACATAAAATAAGACGCGTGAAGGGAAAGAAGCCACTGGAAAATACTGCTAGGGATTTCAGGCTTTCCAGCGCGCCAATGGCACGAAACACCCTACAATAGTAATAGTCCCACCAAAAAAAAAGGGACTGCAAATCAGAGAAAATATGGAAGTTCAGCTTGCCTGGTAGCAGAGAAGCCAAGTGACTGTCTAAGTATTTTGGTCTCCCCATCTGTAAAAGTTAGGCTATTTCCGGCGTTTTTCAGACTGCTTAAATATCTACAAATGTAGTACTGCACATGACTGGCAGGTTTTAATCGTGTGATCCTAGCAGAGAGAGAGGCGCAGGCAACTCAGCATTTCCTCTTCCCTCAGAATTTGGTCGGCAGTCACAAACAAACAGGTAATCCTCACCACCTTGTACTCTGAGCGCTTGGGAAAGTTTCCATCTTCGGAGAAGCAGCTGCCTATAGCTTATGTAAGAGCTTACATGAAAACATTAAGAATCTTGCTCTAGGCTTTATAAGTATCCGAAAGACAAGACAAGTGAAACAAAACTGGCATTATTTGCACTATCTGTAAAAAGGAGGGTTAAATACATTCCCAATTTCATGGATGTTTCAAGGCTTCACGGCTAGCAGAAGCTTGTTCTGGAGACGCAGAAATGCTATGGTACGATACCTATTATCTTCAGAGTCCCAAAAGCATAAGGATTTGGGAAACCCACCCCCCACCAGAGGGAAATGGGACCCAGACCATATATTTTCCTAACAAGAAACCAATGTTTCACAGAGAATTAGTAAACATACTCATGCTTCCCACCTGTTTCCTATTTAGGGCAAAAGAAGCAATTAATATGACTTTTTAAACAATAGTTAATATAAGGAACTTATGAAACCAAGATTTCTAATTGAAAATGTCTTTACCCATATGAGGCAGAGGATCAAAATACGACAAGAGCACTATGCATAGTTTCTCCCAGCTGCGCAAACCGTTTCTTAACGGTCTTAAGATTAATAAACAAAGACGCGTTCTAGACATTTCATATTCCTCCTGGATTTAGTCAGAACATGTACACAAGGCAAACACGAGCAAGCCATGCTCTTACTTCTTTCTCAGTTGGAATGGAGCTCCCAAATAGTATTTTATCTTACCTGATTGTTAACAGGGAAACCCCCTCACTATGAGCACACAGATGGAGAAATACAAGATTAAAAAAAAACGTAGATCCAGGAAGAAGCTGAAATAAGCGTATCATTTATTAGCAAGTAAAAGGGCATTTACCTTCTCAGTGGTTAAGTACAACGCAACGCAAGGACAAACCATATGGCTCAAGTCTTTGTGCAAGGGAGAAAACTGGCAGCATTCCAAGGCTCTAATTGAACTATTACCATATTGTAAGAAATGAAAAAAAAAAAAAAAAAGTCAGAAAGACTGGAGGATCTGCTCTCCTAGGGACAGTTTATGTCATGTGAACAATTAAGTGAGTAACAAAGCATATTTTACATGAGAGCAACTCCACCATTTGGATACTGGCTCAGTTTAAAGAAAATAGGTACTTTCTATCTCAATATTGTACTTAATTCAATCCTACATTCAATGCCATGAATTCCTCAAAATCCAAGTCATCTGTAGTAAACAATATAATGCTTCACCTTTAATCACTAGCTCAAGTCTTTTCCATTTGGTTAATCATGAAAGACGCAGAGAAAGAATACCCAAATGAAACCCAGCAACAAATAAAAGATTACCTAAAAAAATGCGCTGTTAGAATATGATCACTGGAAAATGCGGTATAATTTTAACTACATACAAATAACCATCAAGCGTTTCTCTCAAAGGCAGGCTTGATTAAAATATACTAAGCATTATACTTATATACATGCAAGAGGGTATGCAGTATAACAAAGAAAAATAACTAGTTCACCAATGGATACAATCTGTAGGAGCTGTTGATACATACATGTTTACAGTAGTGTCTTGCTACTATATGGGGAAAACAGTACAGTTCTGTAAGGACTAAAAAAAAAATAAAAAAATCACAATCTTAAATTAAAATGAGGGAAACTCAGTGTCTGTAGATCTCGTTCTTACCATTCTGTTCATCCAGCTCATTCCCAATTTCTTGCCCCATTTGCTTTTGCCGGGATATGATTGAAGAAAGAGCATCAAGCCCAGCATCTTGTTCTGCAACAGAAAGATAAAATCACTTACCAGAATTGCTGATACTGCAGGCTACATACCATAAAGGATGTAAAAGTGAAGAAAAAGATCTAACCTGTGCTTAAAGAGTTAAAATATATTAAGCAAAAGACATCAACACAACATGAAAATGAATTCTTATGGCAACAGCACTCCTAAAATAAAGTGAATGATGGGTAATTAATTTGTCTGCTCTGGCTGGGACATTCAGCTGAAGGGTCCCAAAAAAATCCAAGAATTCAGCATCCAGCTGTTACTCAATCATAAATGCAGGAGATTTTCTGGCACAGACACACAGACCCCTGATTAGCCTTTTTAAATTTTCCAAGAAACTTTTAACATGAATAAAAGACAAACAGGTGATGCAAGCACCAAAGAATTCAAATAGATTTTTAAAGCTGCGAGAAGATAGAGTGCACGGAAGAGAGCCTGACATAGAGGGGACACAGCAGGGGCAGCTGAAGTTTGAAGTGTTCCCATCACCTCTGCAGACACTCCTTTATTACGACCCACATAATCTCTGCTCTTCCAGTTTGCAGGTCCTGCACAGGCCTTAGTAAGTACCTTTACCATGAAGCGTAGCTCTTCTTGTCCAAAGAGGTCAAGAAGTAAAGTAACGGGAGATGCCGTAGACCTGATAGCGGTTTGACAAACTGAAAAGCAGCAATGTCACAGAGGGCAAGACCACGTGAGGAGCCAGGTGGCTGCAGCCAGAGAGCCAAAAATTGTATGGCAAAGCCAGAACCCGTTTCTCTTCAACAAGATGAAGGTCCAGACTCCAATATCCTTTCGGGAGACTGAAAATGGTACCTATGATATAATCAAAAGCTGGAGCTTGAGGCTGCTCCAGGACCATCGAAATAGAGTTGATGCCATTCTCCTGGACTGCAGCCCTAAACATCCTTTCACACGCAAACTACAGTGAGCCTTATCTGGAGACCCATTTCATTTGATCACTTCCAATACTTAAGTTATACAGAACCATTACCTCACTTACCACCTGATGTGATCAGATTGAGGCTTTCCAACACCTGAAGTTAGTGAATTCTTATCTAATTCCAGTTCAGAATTACATTTGATGTTTACCTGGCTTGAAGCATAGCAGGAACACCGCTAAACTCAATTCAACTAATGAGATCCCTGCTGCAGACCAAAACCACAAACATGGTCAAAATCCAGGATGTCTTGTAAGGTTTTGCCTGTTTAGGGTGAAGCCACACCCAAGACTTATTCAGTCAGCATCACAGTTTCTTCCTGACACATCCAGCTTTACTAAAACAGGGACAAAAGGTAGTCACTGAATTACTTGCACCTGAACGGTTTCTCCTCCTCTGCCACAGTAAAAACGACTTGCTTCAATTGGAATGGAGACGTTTTTGAAAAGCTGCTCTAAGAAGATACTCCTAGATAAGAATATTGCAAGCACAATACAGCTCTTGCAAATATAGAAAACAACCACCTGGAACTATTAGGCTTGACATCCGCCTGCAGGTAACATAACTCGGGTACAGCTTATTGCGTTGACTTTCTAATAAAGACTCTCTCTGAATCTTAGCGATATTTTATATAAAACAAAAAGGCTCTTCTACCTTGTATGATCCTTTGCTGCTGCTGCCTGATATCATCAAATCCAAGCCCTCTGGTTTCCTCAGATTCTTCCAGGAGCCAGGGGTTGGTTACACCTCGTTTGACCCCTCCAGTCATTAGGCTAGACCTGAAAATAAATTCAGTAGATTTTGAAGTTTTAAATACGAAACTCACCCATTCTGTACTCTGTGCTTCCATGACTAGCTGACAGTGATGGAATCGTATGTATTTGTCTTAACTCTATGCAAAACTCTGCAATCATAGCAGAAATTAGCCAAAAAGAACCTAACTCACTCCAGTAACAAATACATCTGCAGGTTCCATAACATCGCCTAGAAGCAGTAAAGCAGAGAGAGAACTAGTTTTGCAGCAAAAAAAAAATCAACCCACATGGCAAGATATACAGCACATTTTTTATAATATATTCACTTTAAATATTGTTTGCAAGTAGAATATGACATTCAAAGCTGTTGCAAAAAGAAAAGAGGGTTGCCAGAAATATAGGCAATTGGCTTTGTGATCAGGCATTGGCTTTGTGGTCAAGACACAAACTTCTAAAAACACTGATGTACAGCCTGACAGCTTCCAAGAGTACAAGACGTTCAACACATTAGTGCAGATATGGCTCAGATGAGAGAACTAGTTTCTTGCTCCTTTTCAGGCTGGGTCAGGATTGCATTTCAAAAATGGGAGATGGAAGTCACACAGATACTCTTCTGTGTTTCCTGGTTTGGCATAAACATGAACAAGAAGCCAGACACACGCTCTTAAATGAAAAAGTAATCAAGTTATGGGTTCTCTTTTAAAAGAATTATGACTTAAGGTTGTTAGCATTAGAGACATTTCCCTGGTTACAATGGAAAACAAGTTTTTCATGTCCAAGGCACATAAATTTAAGTAGTAAAATGAAATGCCACTCAAATATTTTTCTCAATACCAGATTTCTGATTGTCTCCTTTCAGCTTCTCATTGTTCTTTGCTACAGGATAAACATTTTATGACAGACTGCAAGCCACTTGGACCCAAAACCGCAACTCGGATTTGGGGTGTCACTGACAAGACTGTGCTGCTCTTGAGGAAGCAGAAGTAAGGGGTTTTGCTTTCTGCTTTGCTTTCTCACACTCCTTATTTTATTCCCATTTTTATCCTTCCCCTTTCCCAAAACACTTCCCCAAACAAAACAAGAACAGACAGAATTTTTAGTATTTCTCAAAAAAAATCTCACAAGTTTATTACACTAAGAGGTTTGGGTTTTGTTTGTTTGTTTTTAATTAAACTGACTCAGGGTCGCTTCTTGTGATACATACTGAAATGCTGTATGGTGCAAAGATATGCTTGAAATCATTTGGTAGTCAAAAACCCTGCATCAAACCCCTGCATCAAAAAAAAAAGCTAATTTAGCACAAATATCAGTGCAGAGAAGAAAAGTTAAATACATGATTTCAATAAACAGTTTTGCTGCAGAACTCTGGAAAGATGACTAAAGTTTTACGTCAAGGATATTTAAGCAAAATCCAGAACTCAGGTCTAGCAGTTCCTTGAGGAATTACAGTGAACTAGAGACATCTCCTGGCCATGAGATGAATCACCACTGCTGAAAAATAATTCTGTATCTCTGTCACATGAAATTTTAGGTTCTCCATAAATTAGAGACATACATGCCCTCATTTGTGCCCGCTGCACTACACACTTCATGGACATTCACGGGCGCTCAAATTTAGGAACACGGAATTTGTTCCCACCTAAAATTTTAACATAGTTGTTCATCTGTCCTTCAAAGTAACGGGCTTGTCAGGATCAGAAAATTAATTTTGTTCCTGCAGGACTGAAAAGTGCTCACTGCAACTTACAAAAATCTCACTTTAACCACACTAGTCGTGTTGGAACTTTATTCAAGAGCGGAACCCAAACTGCTTCATTGTGCCAACAGCCAGTTGGCTTTCAGGAGCAACATCTGAAATGGAGTAGCTGGAATATTTCTGTATTTCATCTTCTTGCACCTCCATTAAAACATACCTATATTCTTGAGTAAGGAGATTGGGTTTGATTAGACAAAGGTTTGCATCCCTGAAACACAATTTTACATGTTACCTAGATTTCTTGACTGCTTTTGGGGGATTAAATACACTCTCGTACTTTCTAGTCTCCTAATCACCGCTACCAGGTTCACAAATCCCAATGTAACGGAAGCATTACACTTTGAGGACATAAAGACCATTACAGCCCACTCAGTTCAGCAGTTCATTTAGAACGCCCACGAAACCCAGGGTTAACAACATTTGACAAAATTACTTAAATAAAGCAAAAGGAATGCAAGGCTCTTTGCTAGCTAACAAGAATGCAACTATTTCTACCTTTAAAAAAGCCAAGGCAAGCAAATTTGAAATAATTTGCACCATTCTCTCTCTCCTAATAATCTGCCCTATTCTTCTACGTTGGGTCATGACAACTGATCCGCTTGTTACAATAATCTTTTTGACATGTTTGGTAACTACCTTCCCACACAACATAGCATTACTTCCTACTTCCTCTGATCTTACCATGTTTCGCTTTGGTGGTGTGAAGATTAAAGCTTATCCAATTAGCCACCCACTGCCTCCGCCAAGTTAATCACGTAAATCTTTGAAACCGTCACAGAGCAGTGGAGTGTGTGGATAGCTTTTGATTATAGGAGCAGATTTAACTAATTACAAGGCTTAGCAGTGTGCCCAAGTATAAAAGATGATGGGGTTTAAAATCAGGGAGCTATGTCATTGCTTAATAAGTAAGGGCTTATCTTCCAGAAGGCATTGTTTCACTGATAATTCTTACAAAACTTCCCAAGTAACTTAGATTAGTCAACCAGCGCTTACTTTAGACCAAGGCCACACATCAAGGCTTATAGCTTTAGAAGAACGATCAGCAAGACTGAATCTCAAACAAAACGGGGGTCATATGACAACTGGTTGCCTGATCACTTGAACATTCCCTTAACGATACAGTTGTACAGTAGCTCTCTTTGAAGTGCTCAGGGCACCTCACCTTAGCTTCACAGGTCAAGCTCCAAGGCAGCAGCGCAGAAACGGGGGTATTCTCTCACTTACGATTTAATTGCGCACACTGGTATGCAGAGCATTTTGGGAAGCTCTGAGCTAGTAAATGAAACAATAAATAATATTTTAACATACAAAGACAAAAGCTTTCTCTTCCCCTAAAACCAGGAGAAATTACATGAGCACAAGCACCTCCAAAGAGCCCACGGTACGTTCCCAAGCGCAGAGATTTCCCACCAGAACCGTTCCTGACACGACGCCTAGAGAAAAGACAACCCTCCCCAGAGCTGGCAAGCCACTTCCCTAGCTCCACCAACACAAGAACGAAGAAAGAACACATCTCGCGTTCAAGAAAAGGCTGCATTGCTCCTGATGCCATTTATCTGTGTCTCGGTTAACTGGGCCCTCTGGTTTCAGGGAAGACAAACCACAGACTACTCTACCAACAAGTTACCGCATGGCATGCTAAGTAGTGGATTTACATCACATCAGCTACTCTGTAGCACCTCCAGGCCCACTGATTCCTGCTCACAAGATGCACAAAGCAGCTTCCGCATCTCCACTGCGAAACAAGCAGCTCTGCAATTACCTTGCACGTACGCAGGACAGCACATGCCTGCTGACGGTCAGCACAAAGCAAGCAACATGCTGGAAACATGTTTGCACAGTTGTATCAGCACACTTTTCTTGGAAGACGCGTGTCCGCTTGAAGAGCTTAGAGTCTGGATGGTGGGGCTGCAGCAGTAAGCTATACAGAGAAGCTACTATCTACACCAGAATATGCGTCCCCAGAGAGGTTATCTTGATAACAGTGTTTACACGCACATTTCACTTCACAGCAGGCTCACTTTCCAATGCAAATCCCAAAATATACACTACAATAAACATCTCCATCAGAGCAATAACCACTTATCTGGAGATCAAATATTATCATCTTCGTTCTACACCATCTCCTACTTTTTTACGCCAGACTGGGCAAAGTACAATACTAAAGATATTATAAAACGGTTCATACAGTCCACATCAAAACAAAGACTCATCTCTACAGCCCGCTTGCCCTCCTCAGGAATGAGAGAATTATAAAGGAAAAGGGAATTCTTTATTAAGAGAAATTGCATCGTATGTCGTTACATCCAGAGGAAAAGAGGAAGGGACAAACCTAGTCTTGTGAGACCCCATTTGTTCTGCTCACAAAATGATATATAGCTACTGTCAGGACAAAAGAGGCAGTACTGAGTTCATGCCTAAGCCTTTGCTCTCTGCATGGTGGTTCAGATCTCTCTGACCACAAGAAAAAAGAACATCAGCCTCCGAGCATGTCACACTTGGCATTTATTCCCTCTGTAGAACCAGCATATTTCAGGAAGATTCGGTAAGCCCATGCCAAAGTAACACAGTAACAGCGCTGGATACAGAAACAATTTTGGGCAAGAAACTTCAGGTAGTTTTGAGCAAACTTATGAGGCAAAACATAAAGCAAGTAGTTTAGCCTTGAAAGCTGCCCTCCTACTGGCATTTTTTCCTGAGGCTAATGAGCATTAATCATTAATAACAGGCATGCAGGCACTACCGGGAGCACAAGGCCTAAAAATTAAGGGGTTTGACTTACTTTTCTCTATTGTGTTTAAATCCTGGTTCTTTGCTATTCCTCATAATGCAAGTATATACAGTTTTCCCACAACCACAGTCCTGACTTCAGTGAGGTCAGAGAACCTATGATATCTCCTGAAAGGAGAGAGATGCAACCTTGACTCTTAAAACACAGACCAAACTGAATAAGGACTCCACCATTTTCGTGGTATCTCCCTTAAATTTCAGGCGAGCACAACAACTTTCAGCTTTTGCAGTAAGCTGGAGGGTCACTGTACACAGCTGGAAGTTGCTTGCGCGAGGGTACGCTCCTGCGTGCGTACACTGGAACCTACGGAGCGCTCCCAGATGAAGAGCGTTACGAAGACAGATGGCCTAAACGCACAGATACAATTCAGTGGACGCGAGGAGGGTGTTGAGACGATCACAACCACGCTGTCTTGTGACTACCCAGCCCAAGGAACGCTAATCCTGGAAAATCCTGCCCCAGGCCCTAGATCTGATCTTACAACTCACACTTCAGACATCCTCAAGCACGGGTTTCTGGATGGACAACCTACTCCTTCTGGCATCCTTATTATAAACTGTTTTTGCTGATCTTCTAGACATACTGCTAATCACATCTGATATCAGAATGCTGCAGCTGCAGATAGGAATGCTTCTAGCAATAACTGGTGGGAAGGAAAGAAAGTAAGAAGGAGCATTTTAAAGGCACCTAAAAAACTTAAGTGTTTTCAGTCTTCTTTTCCAAAGAGTATTTGCTCCTCCATAAGCAAGAACCAGGTTAACAAAAGTATTTTAGCACCTAATGGCTTATTGATTAAAGTCAGGCATCCAAATACCTATTTGGATTAAGACCTATCTAACGTATGATAGAAAAGAACTTAAATGTGCATCCTGTTTAAAAATAGAACACGGACACTCCTAAAAGTTAGCTAAGATGGTTATGACTTAAAGTGTTTTGTGTCCCACAATAATCGCATTTTTCTATGTTTTGTGGAATCAAAAGAGAAATGAAAGAAAGCATGTCAAAGTGCACAGAATTTATTTATTCACTAGTGATCTACATACATATCTACATATAGACTATCTGGTCTGAAAGAAGGAGGGATATTCTCCATTCATTTCCCTCTGCAAATGTTTAAAGACTCACAAAAGCTTCATATTGTGCACAATTCCCAGAAAGTCTATGTTTCCAGTTGCTTCTTCTACTTTTCCCTTTCAAACGGTATGAAGACCCTGGGATTTCTGCTCCACTAAAGTCCGTGTTATAATAAACTGCACGGATCTCTTTACAAGGAGAAACGAGGGGAGAAGATACTGAAACTGTCTACTGAAAACCAATTAGAGAAAACTGAAGCGACTCTGTTGAGAGTCACGCAAATAGCACAGTCTTTCCTCTGGAAAAATCCAGTTGCATCTTAATTAAGGCCGACACCGCCGGAAGGTAAACTAATGCTATACCAAAGTAACGTAGCGTCTTGCCCTGTGTTCTGGCCCAAGTTGTCAGTTAGGATAAATACTAAGAGCATTAAGGCCACTGTACTTCCCAATCAGAAATAGCTTTACAGCAGTTTTCAAAGGATGTAAAACTCACTGAATGGTGACCAAATATAAACGAAGATTAATTCTAGCGAAACCTTCACAATTATAGGCCATGAGGACAATAAATATGTGATCAGTGGTGCAAGAAGGTTAATGAAAGGAATGACTGCTGGAAAGAAAAAGACTTCTGAAAATTTGTGCTGTCACATTAGAGATGGATTAGATAGGGAAAACCAATACAGAAGGAGAGAAAAGTGTCACTGCCAGAACTTAATCAAACATCATGTGCCGATTTTTCTACGCAGTGGCTAAAGCTGACTTTCAGACCTCAGACACACTGAAAAGTGGCCTTTGAAATCTACTAAAATCCAAAGCAGGCTGTCCCAGAAATCTGTAACAATTCTGGAGAAACCTAGCGCAGCTTAACCTTTCCAGAAACTCTTGCCTTCTATCCTTACAAACAATACGACAGGCAGGGGAGATATGAGCTCCTTCCTTACTGACGTCCAAACAGGCCAGTTTTGAGCCAGAAACAAAGATCTGGCTTCCCGGCACAACATTCAGGCCTTGGCCACGTCTCTGCCTGTATCGCTGAAAACAAGACCTACAAGGAAGAATATGGAACGGGTGTGCGTTCACCAGGCACTGGGCAGAGAACTGCTGGCATGGTTTTATCCATTTTAAATTAAAGAAGTTAAAAGAGAACGATCAAATTCCAAGCCTTGCTAGAAAACAAGTACCGTCTCTGATGTTATCTTGTGTCGGAAAATACCGTTTTCCCTGATCACTTCTAATGGAGCTTGAAATTATCATGGGATTTTGGTATTTTCCTCCTTTCTGCCTCAGCACCTCCACGTCAGGGCAACTCTAGGTTAAATCCTTGCCCTCTGCCGGTCCCACAGCAGTAACGCGCCAACACCGTCCTGATAAATCATGGATGGAGTCCTCTCACTGCAAGGCCACGTTTCAGAAGATCAGATCAGTTTATGTACTGGTCAGGACAGGCACCATTAAAAAGAGCCTTCTCGCATCATCAGCCCCTCGAGAAATTTTGCCTACTTGCTGTTTTATGTGTTTCAGGTCACTCAGCAACAGATGTGAAAGCTAGCACTCTAATACGTCAACTGGATTTACACCGCACTCCAGAAAATGCCAAAACCATAAAACAATTAATGGATTAGATCGAAGTGTATAGTTTTACTGTCTGTAGTGGGTGTTGCATTGACTGTATTCAGTTACTCAGAGATGATGAACTGCAAGGGTCTATTTTGGTCTACATTTGGTCTGGCTGTATCAAACACCCCGCTGGAGAACAAAAGCAAGTAGAAGCAGCTTATCAACCTGAGCAGGCTGCAGCTCTGACAGATCCAATATGCCACCAGCAAAAAGAGATATACCTTCCCTGTCCCAATCTCTCTACCATCTTACTGAAGAGATCCTTGACAAATATGACCACACGCTCTTTCCTGGAAAAATAAACGAGGCAGTATAAAAAACTGTTAGTGAGACTTCGAGATAAGCCCTATACCTGCTCCAAAATACGCAAAGTAAACAGGCTAGAAAAAAGATCTTATTTTTAACAGTAACAGCATGTAACAGCATTTGTCTCCATACCTAATATTTACCCTGCAATAGCATCAAAACCATCTCTGCCTTCTTCAAGCGCACATGTCTGAAAAGGGACTAGTGCTCAAAGCACAGAAGCAAAAAGGCTCATGCTTTTCCACAAAAGCACCCGAGTTTTATAAGTGGATGAAGTTTTGTCCTGTCCTAAGACTGAGGGCTGACACTGTAAAAAGGTGAAAAACCTTCCCATGAGGGTTCTCATGCTCTCCCTCATACAGGTAACTTTGCATGTGCACGTATAAAAGACAAAGCTGTATATTTCCTACTAAAAAGGTCCAGTGAACATAGTGCATTTAAGAACGCCTGCCACTGAGAAACGTGTTCTAGTTTGTGCTCCTATCATGTGACTTCATTGCAGAAGTACAGTTATATTCTTCAGCACCAGCTTTCACTAACACTGCAGATCAGTCGAGGAAGCTCTGCTCAGTCACATCGTACGACCCAGACCACACACGCAGCATTGTGCATGGCTTATAGGGTACAGTACAACCCCTTACGCGACCCACAACCACCTTAAGAAGTCTGTTCTTGTTGTGTTAAAACTTGCCACATAAAATCAAAATAAGGGCACAGGCCTAAACAACTCT